TCTTCTCCGATGGACCAGGACGAACCGGACGCTGCTCAGTCTTTTCTTGCCGTATTTCTTGAACTGCACGATGATTCTGTTGACTGTCGAAAGCGAGATTCCCAAATTCTGCGAAATTTGCCGCTGACTTATTCCACCATCTGCTTGATCAACTATCCTTCCTCTAACAAAATCTGACAATTCGAGAGAACCTTGAGTTCTAGGCATGTTGTAGCACAAGATAATTAGTGTGCGGACTATTTTCATTTATATAGAGCTATGTGAACACAAATTAGTTAGCATAAATCAGTTAAATGACGAAAAATTAGGTGTCTATTTACTTGTGACCACTCAGTGTACATGAACGGCATTGAGTCAAATTAATCATTTTCACAATGTTTCACTATCACAGACTGTCATTGCGGAATTAATAAAGACTCGCTGCTTATTTTGTTAATATTACTTTGTGCTACTACCACAGAATGACGCTACTAACTGGTGACTTTGTTCTCATTTTAATTTATTATACCAAAAACTGACGTTATTCAATCAAAAGACATAATTATCACTTTCTTTTACAACAAAAAACAAAATTCAGTGAATCACCTTCTTTAACTCGCACAATGCTAATATTGATTCACAGACTGGTGTTTTCAATACAGGTGTTTAGAAAATGTATGTTATTGTTTTAAAGTAAAATAGTATACTTGGATAAACTGTAATGAAGTGCTAAATATTCTTGGCTTCCAGTACATCATCAAAAATACAGAACAAAAACAGAAAATATGTGAGAAAAAGGACTGCGTACTTCCAAAAGTGTTTCGCATAAAGTGGGCTCATTTCAATCTCCATGGCGACACTACGTAACTGTTGGTAAGTATGTTGATAAAGCTAAACGAATCGGTGAGATGTAGTAGGTTATCAACGGATGCGTTTATGTTATTTCATCTTAATTTTTTAGTAAGTGTTTGAACTTATGCAGAGCTTTATTATGAGGTATAACGCAGTGTAAAAACTGAATGGTCATAGTGAAAACGAAATCTATAATGTTATTAGCAGTGAACTGTGATAATTATTTTTATCATACGTAGGAAGAGAAATAAAATATAATTGATAAATAGATTAAAGGTAGCCATAAATAATTCAGTGAGGTAGTTGCACTGTAATACTCCTGGAAACTCAAGGCAATCAGGCTTTTTAAGTTTGAAAACAATAAATATGAGATTTTTTGGGGTGATAAAGTGCAAAATGTTTATCAGTTAATGATCATTGCTTGGCTTCGAAAAGTTTTTCGGCTGTTTCCTGATTGCGTCTTTGGAAAAAGAAAAGAAAAAAGTATGTCAACAAGAACCATGCAGAACTTGACGTCATTCAGATGTCTTATGTTCTTATATTTCGAAATATTATATTTAAAAAAATCACTATTAACCAGTGTCGGATGGTTTAATTACTATAGTAGATTAGAATTTCATGTTCTCGTTATTTCCTTGAAATCAATTTCAATAGTACAGTAACGAAATAAAGTGACACGTATTGGTATTCAGGGGATTATTTAGTGCCAATGTTGCCTTGTTTTACTTAATCACAATTAGAAACATTGTTGGTAGTGTCTTTACATTTTAGTTTTAAGATGGTTATATCCGAGTTTCTGGTTTTCTTTTCATTTCTGATGTAATTCGCTTATTGATTTATTGTCCAGAAAATGAGCCAAAACCGTTAGAAGACTTGGTTACACCAACTTTTACGAAATTTTACAACTTTTACAAATCCAGTCCTTTAGAGAGATTGCTACGTTAAGAGTATTTTAAAAGGACTACATCTAGTATCAATACTATTCATTCTAAGTCGGATTGTGTTGGTAAATTTGTTAGGCTAACACTGTTTTTTTTTACTTTTCATGCTTAAAAACCACAAAGTATGATAATATATACTCTGTATGTTCTGGAAGAATCATTTAATTCAATATAAGATATACTGACTAACCATTTTGTTAAGACCACAACCTAATATTGGGTTGAACAATATTTTTCAACTGTATTAGCTCCTACTCAATGTGGCATACATTTTACAAAATATGAGAAGTATTTCGTTTGATTGTAACCCATTCTTTGAGAACTATAATCTACAATTGACTAACATATGTACGCAAAGGATCACTGAAGAAAATGTGAGAATGTGTATTGTTACGTAAAACTGAAAATTCGAGAAAGCCTCCATACACCTATAAATATAACCAATGCGACGAGTTAAATTGTACTTTGGATTTAGCAATTAAGTAAGAGTCGATATAAAGTCAGTTTATGATTTTTGCCAACAAGATTGATGCACACAGTTTTCGTTTTTTGTAACACAAATACATTTTAATATACACAAAACAATACAACTTACATTAACAGTTATTACAAATTGTTATTACAAACAATGATTTATAAACAAAAGTTTCACAAACTTACAAGCAATATAAAGTATTCTTTCTAGTCTAGAAATTCCTTGATATCATATCGAGGGTTCACGTCAGCGAGTTAATTACGAGTTGATGTAGGTACGATTCGCTTAACGGGGAGCTAGCTAGCTTTGTCTTTCGTTATTCACCAGCCACACACGCTGAGTTTTCCACCGTTGAAGTTAGGTAATGTTTTCATAAAAGTACTAATGTCTGATGAAAATCCACTGAAGTTAAATGATTTGTAATGCTCGAACTTTGTAAATGCTCCTGGTCAAATATTTGAAGTGTCTCGATTAATAAGTGTTATAATAATCACAGTTATAATTTCCAAAGTTTATATCCCACTGACTATAGCAAACTAATAATAAATACTCTCCTTTGGCAACTAAATTTAAATTTATCAGTTAACTCAGTTTCAGAGCATTTGAAATTCTAATACGTAACAAAATACATTAAGATTACTTAAATTAACACATTTATTAACACAAACTTTAATTGATTGTCAGAGTCTACCAAAAGTATACAAATATTTAGCTGTTATTGTAATAACACTATTAAACAAGTGTGGTAAATATTACAGGAGAGTATGTTAGCTACATAATAATGTGTTACATAATATTTTCAAACTGTGTATATAAGCTGATAATAAATATAGTTTGAAGATATGCGAAAATAATATTTATAATTTAGGGTTATGTATTGCTGAAAATAAATTATTTTACTTGTCACTTATGGAATTTTAAACTTATGTACAATATCTACTTTAGGGAATATAATATGATATAAAACATGACGTGTTTATATATATATACTTCTAATAATTGGCTATTATGAATTAATACTAATAACATTCCAAAACTCCTTGATGTCACGCTGAGTCAATATTTGTGGTGAGCAGCTCCAAAATTTATAATCAGTCTTCGGGTACTTGGATATTTATTAAGACAAACTTCTAATTGCTAATGTGATTTTACCTCTACCTATAATGGTTTAACCATTAAATAGCTAAAATAAAATGTTTGGATGGAACACAAAATTACCAAGATAATACCTTTACGAATATGTTGTTTCGTTATATAGCTACTGAGACTTAGATTCTTACAATATGAAACAAAAATATACGAAAGAACATTAGTACCAAGCTTTAACTTCATGATTAAATAAATCCTAGAAATATCAGTGGTGGTCTTTATAAACCGCATCTGCTTTTTAAACAAATAATTTTTACACTATTTATGCAACAAATCGCTCATATTCCCAACACTTTGTTGGTTCTACAGTGTCTAATAACATATGAGTCACACACACAAAAGTACAGACCTACAATATAGAAATTTAACTTCCTACATTCAGTTATTTTTGTCAGTTCTTTCCATCGTTCATTATAACAATCCAAAACATAAAATTACTCAATATGATACAATTTGTTACCCACTGCTAACGTACGGTAAAAAACATTGTTAATTTGAGCGTTAAATAAATTGCACAAATGAAGCTTTAACATCCAGTGTACAAGAAATGTGCATATCTTTATATGGTTATATTACGCAATGCAGCTTATAAAGATATTTTGTCAAATGAAATCAAATATGGAACAAGTTACCATATTAACGACATCTATGAAAAAAAATCATTTAACATAACATATTTTTGAATAAATAATGAGAATTCAACTAATCAACTTGTATATTCTAAATTTTGGGTCGTTTTTTTTAATTCAGTGCGTGATCCTGTGTGCTAAGTTTTTATCACAATAGCAAGAGGTAATATTTATACTTTTTGAATGTTTGTAATAATTTGATAATTATAAACTAAACAAATGTTCCGTTTTTATACACCCTGTGTTAAACTGGCTTTTGTTTTATGTTTATTTCGTTTCTTTTCATATTTTGGTTGTAACTAGTAATGTTTACTTTTAAATTCCTTTCCTTTAAAAGGTTTTAGTGCATCTTTAAAATAGGAAAAAAATGTGTAAACAAATTATCAAAGAGCTTAAATTTTACAAAAAAACAACAACAACTCAAACATTAATTGTTTGTCTTATTTATTGAATTTTTGGGCAGTGATTCAAAATTCAAACAGACTGCAATCGAACTTAAATTCCATCGAAAATTAGAGTTATTCAATCAAATCATTTCTTAATACATTGGTCAGATGAAGCTGAAAGTAAAGTCAAGCTCTTATGCGTTTTATGTAACTGTGAAGCGAAAAAACAGTAAATAACTTTCACCTTTGAAATTATATACAGCAGTAAAAATATTAAATTACCATATTTCCAAATGGCTATCCTATTGTCAACGGCTAGTACTGTCAAGTTCAGTAAGGCAATTTTGTTTTCACTCAAGGCTGAATGAGCATTAACAGATTCAACTTCAGTTACTTCGAGCTCGTTCTTGATCACTTGAGGCATCATCCAGTATATGCTTGATTTAAAGCCTGTGAAATATCAATATGATAGTTGAATATGAGTTAAAAAGAGCTGAAAAAGGAGAAAAAGGCTTCTTAACAAATCTAGAAGTATTAATGCATCAACAGAATTACCGTGGACGTTTCTATATAATACGTTGGTGTGTTTAAATGCTACATAATATATGTGTACTTACAAGATCACCTGTTCATCAAACTAAGCATACGAGTACTTCATATACTCTACAAACTTCTACATGAAAAGAGAGAAATAAATGTGTGTTTACATGTGAGAAATATTTAAGTTAATGGAGTGTGTAAGCAATGTCTCATGTCGACATTTAGAAAACATGATCTCTGCGGAGTATTGATTCTTGTGAATGAAGGATCCCTATGTAGGGATGGATCCGGTTAAAAATGGCGGCTTGTACATTAGAGATGGTAGCTGGTACGCCAGGACATTGGTAAAACACAGACAAAGAGATAGAGGCGAAAAGCCCTTTATTAATCAGGTACAAAACTGTCTCTAGAGTTCGGTTAATCTTCCTTGACTTTTAGAAAATGGGCTGCAAAAACATCGATTTTTTTCTTCTTCTCCGTCATCTGTAACTAGTAAACCACAGTGTGCCTAAAACTAGCCTGTACACTAAAACACTTGAATACTTCCATGTGGCTTTTCGTACCTAGAGCAGCATGTGATCCACGATAAGTTAGGTACAGCCCAAAGTACTAATCACAGTCTCTGATCAGTATACCATTATGTGCGTTATACAGAAGTAGATAATCTACCGTATACTCCTTATCGCGCCGCACAGTATCCTGGTCATGACTTATCTTGCTTCACCAAGTAACATCTATAGATGATATTATGGCTATATATGATATTATTATTATGATATTATATTATAGAATATAACTAAATAAGTTGGTCAAATGATGCTTTCTACCTAGAAGTTACAGCCACACTTGTGGCCAGTACTTCGTCTCGTAAAAAGTTCAAAAACTAGTAACAAAAAAATTGTATTCGAAAATTGTTGGGATGGAAAAAGATCAGAAACTAGAGATGGGAGAAAAACCTGCCTTACTCATACCTACATTCCACCACTTATTCGGGGAGCCAAGGGGGATTCGGCAGTGTCGGTTTGATGTAGTTCTTTCATTAGTATGGACCTTAAGAATAATTTTGGGGTGGTGCCCGTTGCAGATTTACACGGGGGGGGGGCGCCTAGGCAGAGCCGTTTCCATGACAACCTTGTTTAAAAATATATATATATATTTTAAATACCTTTTCTGCTATAACTCTGTTCATATTTATCATAAAAGTATGAATAATGTATAAAATGAAAGAGGAAGCCATCCTCTAAAGATTACACTATCAATATTTAAATTAGCTCATTTACATATTCATGATATCTCATTAATATGCCAATTTGCATCAAAATTTTGAATTCTGGTTGAAAATTTTCACTACTATTTAATATTTTAGGACTTTCAAAGCAACATTTCACACTTATTATACATTATAGGCATTACTTGTATCATTTTGGATGTTTTTTTTGTTGACAGCTTTTCAAAATACTGCATAAGAGTGCCATTTCCATGGTAACTCCAAAGCATACATTTTCCCCAAAAATTGTTAATATTTAGAATGGCTCCTTTAATGTTCGTCTCATGCATAACCAATAAGACGAATGAAAGAGAAATGGTACGTTTTTTGAAGTGAACTTATATACACACTGTGTCTAATCAAGCACAAATAAACATAACAAATCATGTCAAAATGCTATAATTAAAAATACGTCAATAGCCACACTTTCGAGCACTAACAGTTAAAGCTTTATTGAAAATGTATTAACATAACATAGGCAATATATATGCAGATTTCTACATGAATAAATCAAATAATATTGAGAGACAGGCATGACAAGAGATAACGGAAATGCTTATCACGTAGTATTTCAGTTTCTTACATTATGACAATTAAACAACCAATTACGTGTTTAATCTTCATCACAGCTGCCCTGTTCAGAATATTCTGCCCTGAAGAATTTACTGGTAGGCCCTCACAAAAACATCCAGCATAGCAAGGAACATTGTTTTTTGCTGTATGTGCGACTTTCAGAACACATTTTTTACACATACATTTCAAATTGGTAGCTAAACTGGATGGAAACGAACTACTCTTCATCATAACAGGATTGAGTGTGTTATCATCTTAATTCTTTCAACCAAAAAGTGTGAATGCAGGTAAGCATGGTTTGGGGATGTGCGACCAATTTCCTGTGAATGTTAATAAAGCAGCACGTTTAATGTGTTCTTCCAGTTCACCAGCTGTATGGGATAAAGAGATAAGTAGACCATAGTTCCTTTTTTCTCAATGAGCAGAGTGATCTCCTCCAGATGACTTGATAACCATTGCTTGGCTTGAAGCAAAGAGACCTAAATTCTACATCCTGATTTTCTTCGAGAGATTTTATGAGTTCGAGATCAACATAAGACATTTCTTTCCACAATTCTCGCTTCCTGCGCCCATAAAGGAAACTCGTATCATCTTATCCAGAAAAGGCGTGGAAGTATGGCAATGCACGACATTTGTTTTTCCCTAGGCTAGCTGCTACTTGGTAAATTAGATTGAAACATTTACATCTGTATGAGTCCAGAATTCCTTGATGGATAAGTTCTTCACACAGCAATAGATGCACAACATGATAACATATGTGTCGTTGGACTGGATAACTATTCGATCGGATTTCAAAATTTCAGCACAATAAATTACACGTAGGATGATATATGTATCAGCTTATTCCTAAGTAGAATCAAGATCTGGTACTTCGTTTACTTCATTTGATGTTATTCTTGTTATCAAGCATGCTGCTTTCGTGATAACATAGTCGTCATCAGTTTCAATTGCTTCTTCATTTAGGGACTTCATGTTTGTCGACACCTTACCGAATGTGAGTTAAGATGGACAAACAATGTCTGATGAATACATTATGTGAAAGAAAAACCCAACATCACTCCCTTTATGGTTTCCTAAACCTGTTTTAAGCGATTCGACTAGTAAGATTCCCAATTGGATACTCCATAGTCTCGAAGCAGTGTTCGGTATTTATCTCTGATCGTAAATAACAGGAGTACAGATGAGTTATTGAGCAGTGGTTCTGTTATTTTCTTGACGAGTGTGTTGAAGGCTACATCATAAATGTCACTTGATTCAGTAGATAAGATTACCATATTAAGCTTGGCCATATACAGGTTCATGCAAATCCTGTGTTAGCATAGATCCTTTGCAACCATATCTAACATCTCGCTCCGAATGCTTCAATACCTCATAACAAATCCCCATTGCCAAGTTCTGTTGGTTTTTTCTGTAAAGACACTTGTCTATTTCCTGTCTCTACCAGTGGGATGGACTCTTTCGTACGAACATCATACACTTTACAGCAAATTACACAATGTTTCTTGCTATCATACTCCGGACCAATAGAATTACGTGTTTGTCTTTGATCCGCATCATCTATGTCTTCTTGTGTGTCTTGTCTCTTTCTCTATATCCGTTCATGGATTTGTTTTTCAACAAGTAACTATTTCTACAATTTGGATACCATACTGGTTTTTTATCCACTAGAAACAAGTTTTTTTCCAAATAGTTTTTAATCCGTTCCCAGTTATAAATTTGTCTGGCATTTGGTGCAATTCTGAGTGTACACTGTGTCCTATCCGTAACATTGTACAGTTTTCCTGATTGCTTGTGGCATATAATACACTTTGTATAATTTTGGGTGCACTGTCTTTTCTTGTTGTGCCAGAGGTACTAGGCTGCACATCACATGAATTTTGTTGCTCCATCTTTATGGACCTGGATATAAAACAATCCATAAACGATAACAATATTGTTTCTTAATGTATGTTTAACTCGTATGTTTATTGAATGTTAAGCACTTCATTTTAAACCATGCTGTGTTTAGCTAGTTTATTATTATCATTAAAAAAATTAAAACATTAAGGTGATACTTACCGGCAATCATAATTATTGTGACCTTCTTGTCATTATCCTGTAGCCGGTAACTTCAATATATCTCACGAATTTCAAAGTAAATACTGTTATATCAAGAATTTATAATCTAACTTTAATTGTTTAAAATTATTGTAGCGACATCTCGATATTCTCAATTCGTCCTCATAGTCATTGCGCCTGTATGCAAATTGACAACAAATAATGAGATATGAGATGATAATACGCTGCAAATTGACAACAAATAATGAGATATGAGATGATAATACGCTGACGTAAGACAATAGAAATAATTATTATTCTTGGGGTTTATCCAGGGAATTTGCGAGCTGACATAATGCTCAAAGACTATAAGCAACACATTTGCAATACTATGACACAATTCGGGTAATAAATCATAACCATTTGTGCAGAATTTACATGAATAAACTGACAGTATGGCCAACTTGCCACTTGATGGTTACCATGGAAATGGCTTTCTTGTGCAGTATTATGAAAAGCTGTCAACAAAGCAACAACATAAATTATAGTAAGTAATGCCTATACTGTATAATAAGTATGAAACTTTAGAAGTCCTAAAATATTAAATAGTATTGAGATGTCATGAATATGGAAATGAGATAATTCAAATATTCATAATGTCATCTTTTAGAAGATGATTTCCTCTTTCATTTGAAATATTATTCATACTTTTATGATACATATGAAGAGAGTTATAGCAGAAAAGGTACTTTTGAAAAATCATTTATTTGTAACTCAAGTGCTGCGGAAAAGGCCCTGCCCTGGACCCCTGTGTAAATCTGCTCAATTTTAGCTTTGACTTTGTAGAGGAACCAGTACATAACTAAAAAAGATTGTATTTCTTAAGCTTCATAATTTTTTCAAACAAACCATTAAATGACTCAAAAAGGTACATGTCCTTAATTTTGAACTTATAGAGAAGCTAACACATTACTCAGAAAATTACGCTCATGAGATACTATAAACGTGTGCAAATAATCATGAATTAAAAGTCTAAAAACATTATACTTTTATAAACCTATATTGATACGAATACCAAAGAGATTCAATACATTTTTAAAAGTTACATATAGAAAGTAATCTTAACTCACCATGGCATTCACTTATTTCTTTGTCATGTTTCGTCAATAATACTTTTTTCCTGAAAGCATATATATATATATTATTTCTCGTTATACTGTTTTAATGTAGTATACATTCACATGTATTGTAATCTTTGGGTAAATGCTAGAATGACAGTTTTAAACTAGTGGAAATTTGTTAAGATAAATAAATAACGTTAATCACATAAATACCTGAACTTCCTCTAAACTTATTCAACAAGTGTAGTACAGGAAGTTCGTAAGCTTGTAAATTATACAGTTAATTACATTATTTGAAAATTAAGATCGCTTTAATACCACTTTCTTAAGTTCGTACTACATTCGTACTTCCCTTTCCTTTCTTATTCATCTATTTTTTTTAAGGTTGTACTTATTCCTATCGTAAACTGATTCATACTAATGTAAATGTAACAACCTGCTGATTAGTACTATAATCAATAACACATAGATTTAGAACTAAGTTTTGTTTCTTACTAGCAACATAATACTGTCTACCTTCAACCCGGGCCCGGCATAGCCAGGTGGTTAGGGCGCTCGACTCACAATCCGAGGGTCGCGGGTTCGAATCCCAGTCACACCAAACATGCTCGCCCTTTCAGCCGTGGGGGCGTTATAATGTGACGGTCAATCCCACTATTCGTTGGTAAAAGAGTAGCCCAAGAGTTGGCGGTGGGTGGTGATGACTAGCTGCCTTCCCTCTAGCCTTACACTGCTAAACTAGGGACGGCTAGCGCAGATAGCCCTCGTGTAGCTTTGCGCGAAATTCAAAAACAAACAAACCTTCAACCCTCCAGGTTTTGTTCGTTCTCTCTCATGGCCCTTTTTTCTTTAATTAAACTACTGTCTTTTATAATTCTTTCCTTACACCCACATCAAACAAGTTTCTTCCTTTGTGACCTTGCACACCTGTTTTCCCTATATTAGATTACAACATCTCATAATTAAAGGGGTCTTGTAATCTCCACACCAATTGAATAAGAAAGGTGGCCGCTCTCTCCAATTACTTTCTAATGACTATAATCTCTAATCCCTTAGAGGCTTTCCTACCTCTCTTCACCTTATCTGATGCCCTTTACACCCAACTTCATAACATGCACTTCCATGTATTATTATAAAATTAACATAGAAAATTTCATATATTATAATTTTTATGTTTGTATATAACCACAAAGCAATACAATGAAATATTTACGCTCTGCCCTTTGGAGGTATCAAACTCCAGATTTCAGCCTTCATCTTACTGTAACATGTACAATTTTTGGCTTGTTCAAAAGTAAGATTTTTTAATTTGTCAACTATTATTAATTTTTCAATTTCTAATGAATGTATTTACAACATACTTTAATTAAGTGATTAAAATGCAGTACTCAATTTACAGTTTAGAACATGAAACAACTGAATTAATAAAGCTCAATACTGCTTTGTGATATGTTCTCTTGCATTCTAGGAACTTTTGCAAATATGATAAATAATGCTAATGAAATGCAATCAAATTATAAAGGAATAATTTTAATAGTTATATGCAGAATTAACCACCTTGATACCCTTACTTTATTTACACTTACGCAGCTTAAAGGATATTTTAGATAATATAATTTATAATACAATAATTAGTTCAATCTCTCTAAGCTCTACAAACTAAAACTTGTATACAGACTTTTCTTCTAGCATGGTCCAGTTCATTTTAATGTCACTTCTTGGAAAACATTCTCTGTTTGATGATGAATTACAGCAAGAAAAGCATTGTGGACATTTATTAATGTGTTGACACTCTCCCGACTGTTCTTTGTCAAATTGGCAAATGTTTTCCGTTTCTGCAAATAAAAAGAAGCATGGACTTTAAAAAAATCCATAATACTTCTTGATTTCAATAACAATTTATTCACTTCTATGAGATTTTTCGCTCAGATACTGGAACTTTAAGTGACAAAGCAGCATCTTGCCCTCGAATATTTTATAAATGGAGCCAAAAGCTCACTGAAAAAATTTTACTTACTTGAAAATTATCTTACAATTTCTCTTTATGTTACATAATTCGTAGGTCATGAAAAGCAGATCATATCTAGCTATCATAAGAGACTAATTAAGTGCACTTGTTTTATACCTAAGATCACGAGTTATATTGAGCATTTACTTCTAACCTACACGTATTGTTAACAATGGTAATCTTTATAAAGAAATCATAGATTAATAAACGAGCACAAAGTGTTTTTTTACAAAGATAGTTAGTTCTAAATTGCTATTGATTAATGATACAAGGGACAAAATTAAAGGAAACACAACAAATATTTACTTGACTATCATCGATTTTGTACATTAATGAAAGATATAACTGGCTTTCGTTTCTTTTATGTGTTGAATAAATTTCGCATTTGACAAATATTTTAATTGCACTTTATATATGAGAAGAGCTTGTGACATCGTACTTGCTGTTGTCAGATTTGAATCTGTATTATCTTAAAGAACATGTACTTTCATAATTAACATACAATTTTAAAGCTGTAAGATGACATCTAAAGAAAATAGAATCTGGATTTAATTACATTTTATTTATATGTTTTATAAATTCTAATACAGTTGCCAAAAGTATGAACTATGGCGCCACAGGGAACATGTTTAGACTATATATTTGGTTTCAGAAAATTCTCGACAATGAGACAGTGTAATGCCACCATGCACAGTTCTTCCGTTGAGAAATATAAAATCATTTACGAAGGATCCAGCAATGTTTTTATTGAAAACAGTGACAATGGGACAACATTGAGGTGCAAAACCATACCCTAGCCCAATCCAGGGGAACACTCTTATCTACAAAGTTAGACCACATGTACGTGGAGTTTCCCAGTCCAGATCTAATGGATGTGTGAGTTCCTGGTTTATTATAATATTTTTGAATACCAATGTTAACGTAAAAAGTGAAATATCTATGGAAAGCTTACCAAAATGTTTGGCTAAGATTTTTCTTGTTAAAATGTAAATTGCTGGGAAACATCGTGAATTTATGGCTTGGATGGATAAAATAGTTTCAATGGTAGTTTAACAATTAATTTAACAAATCAACCTGAAAAAGTTAACATCCTTATGTAAAAGTAAAAATACTTTAGATGCTCAACAAATTTAGTGTGATTTTCAACTTTCATTTTTTTCCGCCCACATTGCCACTGTAGAAATTATAATCAATATAAGGAACTATTAGTAGCTTGTCTCTGTAATCAGTTTACACAGTGAGAGGAAGTGTCATTCCAATAGTCAAGTATGTTAGATTATACGGACTCTTATAGTAATCCATGTACAATCTCACATACATCTGTGCAACATCCCTAACTATTAGTTGAAAATCTATAAGACATGAAAGTTAACGTTTATTTTGTATCAGATCATAATATTAAAGCTTTGATTTATTAGCATGCAACATCCCTAATTATTAGTTGAAAATCTATAAAGCATGAAATTTAACGTTTATTTTGTATCAGATTATAATATTAAAGCTTTGATTTATTAGCGTGCAACATCCCTAATTATTAGTTGAAAATCTATAAAGCATGAAAGTTAACGTTTATTTTGTATCAGATCATAATATTAAAGCTTTGATTTATTAGCGTGCAACATCCCTAATTATTAGTTGAAAATCTATAAAGCATGAAATTTAACGTTTATTTTGTATCAGATCATAATATTAAAGCTTTGATTTATTAGCATATCTCGTAAGCTTCTTCTGATGATATTCTTTAATAAAATTGTAACATTGTTCGAGTTTTGTTTTGTTTTCTCAGACATGATTTCATAATTTCTCAAATGATATTGGTAGTGGATTATTCCTGTGGTGTGTAGAGCAAAGATAGCCCATTGTGTAGCATTGTGCTTAGCTTCAAACAAACAAACAAAACAAACAAGTGGATTATTTCATATTCCACAATAACTTCTAAAATTATATTAATTTTTTTTGCGCTTTTTTTTTAGCGTTTTAAGTACTTGATTGTTTTTACAGAAACTTTATAAACAAACGTTTTTTCTAAACAATAATCTATATTCAAATATAATTCGTGGCCATACTATGTAAATATAACCATACATACATGACATTTGATCAAGAATCTTACCTCCAGAACACGAGAAAAATTCGTTGCAATTCTCCTATGGGATGAAAATATTTTAAATTTGTTATATTTCTAAACTTCAAATGCAATATTCCTATTTTAGAAACAAAACAATATATATCTAGTTAATATAAGTATACTAATAAAATCTGACATTACATAGTCTATATTGAAACGGGTGTAACGAATAAAATTGTGAAATAAAATTAAATCACGTTCTGGTAGACTCGAAATCTTCGGATCGTAGGTTCGTATCCCCGTCACATCAAACATGCTCACCTTTTCAGCCATAGAGGCGTTATAATGTGACGGATAATCCTACTATTCGTTGATAAAAAAGTAACCAAGAGTTAGTGGTGTGTGGTGTTGACTAGCTGCCTTCAATCTAGTCTACCATTGCTAGATTAGGGATTGCTAGCGCAGATAGACCTTTTACTTTGCGCGAAAGTCAAAACAAACGTTCTGCTCTCAATGCAAGTACTATAGCTTTACACTAAAGTTGGGATATCACGCACTTCCCTAAACACTTTATTTACCAATTAATCCAAGAAGCAACGATTATTATTTAAAAGCAAAAAGTAAGAATTCTGAGTATGACACTCGTCACTTTTTATTACTCTGAACAAATAAATTTCAAATCGTAATTGCAATGTAATCTTTTACACTTTTTATTTTTATGTCTCTAGAAATATCCATCATATTTTAAACTTGTACAGAATGCACATAATTCATTCTAATCTATTCTTCCTCCCTATTAAAACCAGAATTATTAATGGTGAAAATTATGCTATTCTGCTACCTATCCATATATCAAGTTAAGAATAAATTTAAAGATTCTTACAGAGTCTGAAGAACAGAAAGCCATCGCTACTACCACCAGATCAGGATCACATTTTTCATCTTGATCTTTTTGAGTGCAAGTTTCCTACAAAAATTAAAAATGCACTAACTCAGACCTTTGTATGTCCCCTATTAATTATAAATCCCTGCCTTACGTTAGTTTTGTCAATCTAATTAGTAATATATATTTAAAATACAAATAATACCTCTTAAAATTAAAAGTTTTCTACATAAGTTTTCATACTGTCAATCTGCATTTTCTTTATCTTTACTAAAACTTCAACTAAATAGCTTAAATATTTTTTCAGTTATAAAACCTGATAAATATACAAAACAGTAAATATTATTTCTTACCAAAAAACTCATAATGACAAATTAAGTAAAGTGAGGCGACACTTAGCTAAAATGTACATTTTACGAACAGCACACTCTGATAATGTAATGTTTAATTACTGAAATTATGTTTAAATGAAAAATGTTTATAAACTAAAATTCTCCTTTTACAGTGCTTTGCAAAAGTATTCACCTTCCACCACTAATGTCACATTTCGATGAAATACAAATAATATAAAAACATGTTAATGAATTTGTTTTTATTCAAAACTCTAATGATCAAACTTAACACATACATCACCAACGTAAAATCCAGAAAATCTCAGAAGTCTCAGAGTTTTCATAGGTGGTATTTTAAAGAAAATTGAGTAGATATAGTCGAAAATATTCAAGTTATAGGTAGTGCCAGTATCGCTTACTATAGGAAATATATTCAGTTATACGTTACACAGTTAAAAGACTAATGTATGCCTTAATGAATTGTTGTATTTCAACTCTCATTTGACTCCGCTTGACGAGACGATCAAAAGTGAAATCTCTTACTTTTCACAATTCCTTAACTTTTGCAATACTTAACTTGATAAAGTAATCCTTGTTACAAAATTTTGCTTTTTCAAATGTTTAAGTTTTTAGTTGTTTTTTAAAAGAATACAGAATTTAAATGATTGGTAATATACATGAATGTTCTTGGAGAATGGAAGTGTTGTGTTGAGAAGTTGAGTAATATGTACTATACACTGATACACCCTTCTAAAAACATGCTTTGAAGTCACGTATTTTTTGTTTCCATACAATTATTAATTTCGAGAATGGTTTACATGATAAATAATTCTTAATAATTTTACTAAATCTTCTTTAAAGTTTTTTTTTAATATTAAAATTGGAAAAAGAAAATAAATTTATGTTTTGAGTAAGTATTTTACTTTTTTTTTAACATAGAACAAAACTGATACAGAAACCATCACTGTCAACAGTAAATATATTTCTTCATTTCTCCGTTGTTTAATCCTCAATTAGAAAACTGATCTCACTGTATATATAGCTTTATCAAATTGGCCTTGCCATTAATAATGTTTAAGGTTATAATTTGTTATGTAAAGCAGTATTTTCTTTCGTACCTTAACAGATTTGCCCAAGTTAGTTCAGTATTCTCTGCTGTTACAATCCCTAAATTCTGAAAAGAAATCATTAGAAACTGTGGTGTAAGCTTACGTCAATATTTCAATATCGACTTTTGCACGATATCCATCTGTGTTAAACAGGAAACATTTTAATTTATCTATGATGAATACGTAAGCTATTTAATTTCATAGTTTGGGAGAAAAAAGTGTTAAGTCTTAAAATATTTAGCTCAAACTAGTACAGTTTACATTTTAAGAATGATCGTTGTCTGTTTTCAAAAAAAATTAATTTAAAAGTTTTTTATTCTTTATTACCACGTAATAATGGGTCATCCGACCATCTAGAGTTTTTCATAAAAAGAAACTCGATCACTGTTTAAAAGTAAATGAAGTACAATTCTAGTTTTCAA